ATTTGGGGTGGAATAACAGCACGCCAAAGAACTCCGTTGGTGATTGTTCAGGGCACGTTAACTGGTGTGGGCTACAGGGATCAGATTCTTCGACCTGTGGCAATTCCTTTTCTGCAACGTCATGGCCCTGGGTTAACATTCCAATAGGACAATGCAACACCACAACGTTGACTTACTACCTTGGCCTGCACATTCACTGGATCTCTCCCCGATAGAGCATGTTTGGGACGAGTTGGATCGACGTCTACGCCGTCTTCCTCATCCGCCAGATAACGTCCTTGACCTTGCAACAGAACTTGGGAGAATCTGGCGTGACATCCCACAGGCCTTCTTTGGACGTTTGATAGGCTCTATGTGTCGTCGATGCACTGCTGTTCTCAATGCCGATGGTGGACATACTTGTTATTGAGGTTGTGACATGGTCGTTTGACCCCTGTCCCGAATTAGTACTCGTGACGTCATTGTGATTGACTTTTCAATTGAAAATTCTCCCGACCTGTTATGGTCTCATAATCCCTCCATTAAAGTTTATATGTACCTTTCACATTGTTATCGTACTTAGCAACTGGGATAATATTTTGACAATGCACAGTTTCTTTATGTGGCTGGTATATATAAATTCATTGGCTTTATCAAAAAGGACAAGATCACGTTTTTTGGCTGGAATTCTTCTGAGGCTGTATATGGGCCTATTCCAGAGAAGTTTGAAAGCATCATTTTCCATGACGCCCTGGACATGTTCAGGGTCGTACCATGGATGAACCTCGGAGTCAAAGCCACAGGCATGTCGTAGACAGTAGTAAAAGCAACGAGCCATGCCATCATGTCGTTTAAGATATGCTGTTTGTGCCAAGGAAGGGCATCCACTGACAAGGTGTTGACAGTCTCCGTGAATTCATTGCAAAGTCGACATTTCATATTGATATTTTCTTTAAGAATCACATTTAGGCGATTGCGAGTGGGAAGTGACTGGTCCTGAGCAGCAAAAAGAAAGCCCTCAGTTTCACATTTAAGACCAGCCGACTTCATCCAGGCGAAGGAGTCGGTGGGATTGCTGTTCTGTTCCACACACTACATGTACACACGATGCAATGGCTTCTCAGAAAGCTTCTCCACAAAAGACCGACTCTGAGCAGACTTGGTGAAGGACTTCACCTGGTTTACTCCCATCGCTGTACCGTCCAGCAGTACATCGCCATCAACAAAATCAACCTCAAATCTCAGATTCTGTCCAATAACCTTGGCACGCTTAAAATAGCTGTGGAATTCCTTGCTTTCATCATGAGTCTTCACATGCATCACTAGAGGATCATCCAATAAATAAATATGTGCAAAAGTACACAATAAAATTCTATCATGAAGAGCCTCCACATTAATCAAACCCCGACATCCAGAATTGATTGGCATATATAAACGGTTAAGAGAGGAACGAGGGTGGTGGGCTCTGTTATCAGACATGATCCTTCTGGTCAGACGGTCAAGACTCTGGATGTCTTGTTTTGTCCAATCAACTACTCCAAAGGAATAGGAAAGGACTGGCACAGCATAAGTATTGGTGGCTTTGACTTTGTTTCTAGCATTTAGCTCTGAGCTCCAGATTTTCTTTGAAAGAGATTTGTACTCGGCCCGAAGTTTGTCTTGAATCTGGGCATTCTGGAGCTTGTCTCGAACTTCCATACCAAGATAGGTGTAGGCCTGATCTGCCACAAGATGCTCAATCATTATTATTATGAACTGTATTATTTGTAAAATATGTTCATTTCAGAGACTAGCTGTTACGGCCATTTGCAATGCACATATTGTGCAGCATTGCCGTTGCAACTATTATTTTGCAATATTGTGAAGGTTCAAATAGCATGTACCCTCCAAATTTGTGAAGACAACGAAATCTCATTTTTCAAACACCGATTGTCCTTTCACTTGTGTTTCGGGTTTTACGCTGAGAGATGTTATACCGTTGTTCATTTGGACGGGTAGGATTCAATATAGGCGCCATCATCCATGGAGCACATACATACCAAGCCTTGTTCAAATGAATTCAAATCCTCGTCACGATATGGCTGCAATATTGTCGATGTGACATTAAATTATAACTCATTCACTCATTTAATCTATCTTTTCATGTAAATCAGGGTAACTTTTGTGTAGGAAGTTTGCTGTATTTTTGTTTGAGTTTCGTGGCAAGTGGTAAGTTTGCCAAAGTAATTATGTAAATGCGTACTTTCTTGGCATAAGGTTATCATGTTCAGAGTACTTTTGTACAAATTTTCGCAATGCTCGCAATGTTTCATTGTATTTCAAATGGTTTAAGCAGCATTTTTTAATATTTTGTAGGCCATGTGCTTTTGCCTTTAGAATATATTGTTTAAAGCGCTCATAAATATTTCTGCAAGTTTGGCAGTAGAGTCATTTGCTCAATTTATTAAAGTTAAATTCTGTTGGTAATTATGTGACTTATTATTTCCTATAACGTATTTAGATTTTCTATTTTATTCAGTAAATCTACTGTAAAGGCAACATGAATAAGAATTTGAATAAGAATATTGGAACATGAAATAAGGAAGAATTAGAATTTGGAAATGGAATATGGATTGTTGAAAGAGAAGCAATATGAACTATCTACTGATTACGAGAAATTAGAGTGAGTTAAGGTTTAAAGTCACATTGGCAGTATTTCAGCCATATCGTAACTATAACTACAAAAACAGTCCGTTTGAGTCAGAAACGGACCGATGAATTGCAAATTTTAACATTGTACAAAATTGCCACAGAAATATTAATAGGACATATGTTTATCATTTACTAATACCCAACAGCTTTGTTATATTTGAAAAGTTTCCGGACTCCACCAAAAACGTTCTTTAAGAAACTATCATCATTGAAAACGCAAAAGTTGTTATCTGTCGCGGCGGGGTGTCCTGCTTGACTGTATAGATTTTTCCATCACAAGGGATAAATATTTCAATGTCAAAACAGTGAAGGATCTGTTTAAAGTTAACTATCAATTAATTATTGATTTTTTAAAAGAAATAGAATTATTAGATACATTTTGATAATATGGTTTGTAAATAGATAAGTATTATATTATTGGTAGCTTGGATTAGTAACTGAGATTGTTAGTGGCTGTACCCTCAAAGGGGGGTTGAAGTATCGTAAAATGATTGTCCTCCTGAGAGGGTACTTAAGTCCCAAGACTTTTAAAGTCAATTTATACAACCAGGATTTTTAGACGTAGTTTTCTTGTTATTTCAACAGCTGAATGGATGGTGTAAATCCAACTAGGGTCCATGCAGGTAGCAAAGGTATTGTAAGTCCCAATGGTCCCTAGTATGGGGCTCTACCTTCAGTTGTTGGAGATCTATAGCCTGTTTTCATATTGTATTTTAATTCTAATTGTGATATTCGAGTTGTTTTACTGTCATTTGACGACATGTTTATATGATAAACACATGTTTCATTTCAATGTCAAATATGTTCTCGTCACGATATGGCTGAAATATTGCTGATGCGACGTTAAATCTTAACTCACTCACTCACTCTTTCAGGGTACGTTCATGCATGTTGCAAATGTACTGTAAGTCTCCATGGTCCCTAGTATGGTGATCTTCCATCAGTTGTTGGCAATCTATAGCCTGTTTTTTTTAATATTGTATTGTCATTTATACTTAAAATATTATAGATTTAAATACTAGTTACTAAATTTATATCTGTGATAATCTAGTTGTTTTGCTGTCCTTCGTTGACAGGCTGAAATATTGCTGATGTGATGATAAATATTAACTCAACCATTCACTCATAATTCAAATTCAATTGCCACAATTGAAATCCATTACGTATAACCCTGATGTAACATCAAATCTTGAAACTGTCACCTCCTGGGGCGGTGGGGTATCCTAGTGGGTCATGCATTTGTTCGTCACGCCGAAGGCCCGGGATCGATTCCCCACATGGGTACAATGTGTGAAGCTAATTCTGATGTCCCCTGCCGTGAAATTGCTAAAAGCAGCGTAAAACAACACTCAGTCATACAGTCACCACCCGGTGGTATTTATTGAAATAACGCATTTGTAGAGCAACATTCAGTTACAAAAAATGTTGTCAAACAACATGCTTAATGTTGTCAAACAACATGCTTAATGTTGTAACACTGCATTGCTGCATTCGCTAACCAACATCTGACTTTTAAGGAAAGGCGAAGGTGTATATTAATCAACATGTAAGATAACGCAATAGAAACTGATCACTTTTAAATGGTTTTACAAAAGTTGAGATTAATGTATGCATCTTTATAGTCAAAACTATTCATATGCTAGAACTGCGTGACAATTTAAATCAAAGTGTACTGTAGGTATTTTATTGATGCAAGTAAAAGACATAAAGCTCTTAAAACACAAAGATTCTGAACATGATTTTCTCCCACACCACACAGAGCGAAGACAACACATACACTTAAAGGTCACATGCAACGTAAAACACAACTCTGCAGATTCTGATACCTTTTGGTATGGACTTACAGTAACAAATGATCAAGAATGCGAATTCAACTTATATAGTTGAAAAGTAACGCGATGAAAAAATCCCGCGAAACCGGAGTTCAAACGATTCATTAAGTTCACCCCAGCTGGGATGACAAGTGGTTTCAATAGCTGTGCTGCACTGCGCTCATGGCGCATGCGCAGTGAAAATGTGTCGGCCTGCCTGTCCTCTAATGACAATATGCAATACACAACTTCGATCACTGACCACATGCAATTTGAACTTAACACCTATCAGGCTATACACCAAAAACAAAACGCATTGATTTATGGCTCATGCACGCAAGTTCTGTCTCTGCCACATTATGTAAGTACACAGACAGGCAGGTGTGATACTTGTACACATGACATGTTATGGTGTCTGTTGACTGCAAAATGTTATACACAAAAATGAGCATGTATTTACAAAAAACAACATCTCTATACACACACAAAGAGCCCTGAGTGCATCGGCAAATGAACCAGCCAATGAAAGGCTTCGTTACACTTGAGTGCACGCCCACCCGCTTGTTTTAATTTTGTTTTAATTATGTTGGTATTTTGTTATTTTTGCATGTGACTTTTAAACTAAACACTATGTTAAGACCAATAAAATCGATAAAACCCTTACTATAATCAAAAGAACGAAAACTATACTGAAAGTCCATTGAACGGCTATAGCAATAAACCCTGTTTAGAATCACTATCGGGATTTGATAACATGTTGCGAAAGGGTGAGCGTACCCAGTACATTCCGCGGGACCAGTCTCAAATATACTCTTAAAAAAGAAGGGGAACTTGACTTTGAATTTACGATTGAAACAATTTGGATATATATCGGAGTCAATCAATGTTGATATGACAATAATGAATGTTTTGAGTGTGCGATGCCACTTGCACTTCCTTATGACCATAGTTGTTTGTACAGTTATCACTCTTGAACGATGATTCGTGTATGACGTGAAATTCGCATGTGTACAAAACAAACACTAAGAACTGTGTGATCAAGATGATTGTCAAAATAAATAGTCTACAGTGATTTATGGAGCTTCTTGAAAACCGTCAAAATCAAGAATAACACCCCATGCACGTGCATCGCATGCGTTGTGTTTGGGAATAGTGATAAAGAGAAATGGTGGTGCGTTCTTAAGATATCTGTCTTTGAAAAGTTTGTTAACGCTTATACTTCCTATTCAAATTGACAGTTCAGGTTCCCCTACCTTTTTGGAAGAGTGTACATTCAAACGCAAGACAATAAATGAATTTCTCGACACAAAAAAACGTTATACATGTATTAGTCTGTATCAGTGCTAAAGCTCTTTGCAAAGTTGTGAAATATATTCTCCTTTTGTAGCACCACGGAGGAATGGTCGGAGAAGCTTGCCGTCATCACAGCTATCGAAGGTAATAATACGATTCATCGTGGGCTGGACTTAGGCCAAAGGACTCCTCCAGTTTCCCCACAACATCCGCAAACGTAGGACGCGCTTCAGGACGCAGCTCCCAGCAGCTGACCATCATGTTGTAATGGCTGAAACCAATGACCAATATTAGAAACGCATGACAGGTCCGTGTATAAATATGCATCTCTAACACATCCATCCATCTTCCGTCACAAGGGATAAGTATTTCCATGTAAAAACTGCTACGGATCTTTTTACAACTGTTAATTTTCATTTAATCGTAAAATTATTGTCCCAAAACATTCAACGTAAATTTAAATCTACCAGATTTTTAAAAGTGTAAGTATTATTTAGTGTTGGATAAATTTGACTATAATCGCAAGCTAAAGAAGATCTGATATAGATCCAGCTAGGGTCCATGCAGGTAGCCAAAGTAATGTAAGTCCCCATGGTTCCTAGCATGGTGATCAGCCTTCAGTTGCTGGTGATCTATAGCCCGTTTTTATATTGTACTGTTGTTTATAGTGATACTAGCGTACTAGTTTTAGATTAAGAGCTGTGATAATCTAGTATTTTACTGTCCTTCGATGACAGGTTTTTACGTTCTAGATTTATTGATTTGAATATTGATGCAAAATGTTCTCGTCACGATATGGCTGCAATTTTGCCGATGTGACGCTAAATATAAACCATAAAAATGACAAACCAAGAAAATTGAAGTAATTATTTGAAAGGACAACATAACAGAATGTTTCACGAGTTCCATTTGAGTTTGTGTATCATTTCAAGAAGGGCTTGCCACAAAGATGTGACTTGCACCTCTTTGTCCTTGTGCAATATAAAGGTTAAAACCGAATGTAACCGTAATTTAAGTCAAGGTGTTGTAAAACCCATCTCATCGCATAGCATTTACTCATTACACACATTACACATTGCACATTGCAAACAACGTTTTCATCAAACACTCACATATCTGCAGAATACTCAGGTCTGGGGAGTCGGTAACCGTTCTTGATTTTGGCAGGGAGATCTCTGCTGCGAACGTCAGGATATGGCACCTGGCCTGGTATTGATAAGGATTAGTAGTATAACAACCACAAGGACATTGATGAATCAAAAATGGCATTTCTGTCCAGCTGTAAAGAGGTCTTTGAAGGTTGCTCTAACAAAAGTGTTTCTAAACATACATTAATGATTGTATTCAAAGCTGTTTTGTATCTTAGTAAGCACACACATTACACATTCAAACCGATAGTTCCAAGTGTTGTGAGCATGTTACTTGGACCTGACCGAACCATAACTGTTTCATTTTCATCTCGCGGACTGAATGTATTGATGATTCAGTACACATCCACCATACACATCCATTTCAACATCAATATCATCGAGATATACATTTAAGTCCACCTCTACGTTCATCTTCTAGTGGGATTTCATAGCTCCGAATTTTAGCTTCACAGTTAGATTAACCAAACAGGTTCAGAACTCAGGTCAGATTTTACAATATTCCTGGAGTGGTATTGCTTCAAATTTGTTATAACAGGACAAAACTAACATGCCTAGGTTAACATTCACAAACACATCCATTAAGTCTACGTCCACGATAACACACTGCCGTACATACACACCTAGGAATTTACCTAATTACATAAGAAGTGTCAATGCAATTTCAAGAATATATTTGTCACACCTACCCATGCTGAGGATCTCCCACATAGTCACCCCAAAGGACCAGATGTCACTCTTCTCATTGGCTTCCTTCAGAGAATGAATGCATTCAGGAGCAGTCCACTTCACGGGGATTCGATCCTGTGAAAGCAGTTTGATTTTTGAGAGTATTAACTGCATGGTTTGTTTTAAGATGTATTAATGTTAGTCCCCTACGAATGGGACAATACAGAGAAAATCTTCATCCACATCCACATTTTTGTCCTTGTCCTCATTCTCTTTCTTGTCCACATTCTCTCCCTCGTCCTCTTTGCCATTCGCACCCACATCCACATCAACGTAGACTTCTAGTTCAGCTCACATGATCAATTTTGCGTAGCGTTCCATTCCACGTCCACGTGTCGTCTTCATCCATACATACATTTGAGTCATCGTGACGTTGATGTGGACGATGGGGTAATGTGAGAAACATTCGCTCGTCGATTTGATTCACCGCGTAGTGCTATGCCTGCCCCAACCCCCATCCCCACCTCCACCCCCACCCCCATCTAATCCACATCTACGCCCACATCCACATCCACGCCCACATCCACATCCAAGCCCGTGGGATTTCCAATGTGAACTGTTGCACTTATCAAACATAAAAATGAAATACATGGCTTCTGAATCAGTCGGCTTACCGCTTTTTGATTGGTTATGTTGTCATCGTCGTTGGCGTCGTCCATGCAGCTCGGGCCAAATCCACTGACCTTCACCTCGTATGTAAATGTCAGTAGGCAATTCCGAGCAGCCAGTTTGCGGTGAACAATCTATACAATAAAATAAACATATTATTGGAAGATACCCCTGTGCAAGTTTCTCTGTATGAATGAGCACGGACGACACAACGGTAACAGTCCTTGTACGTTGGCTTGCCAGAGTTCGTTCGTCAGAGGTCGGATTCCTTGAGTTGCGCTGATTATGACCCTTCAGTGGCATACGCGAAGTCGTTAGTTTCAGCACATTGGTAGGATCCACCACTAAATCACTTTTTGGTTACATTCCTATTAATCTGGAACACAGTTAAAAAGTCGAAAATATGTCGGGCTAACCCGAATTAACCAGCGTTGTGTCAAGATCTTAGCTCCAATTTAGTCATATGGTTATATAATTTGAAGGATAGTCTTGAAGTAAATGATAATTAGCAGAAACTGCTTGAAGGGTGATCCTCACAACTGTAACTGAATGCCTGTTATGTAACAGATGAGCTTTAAGAACGAAGCATTAGAAGACACATTAGCACGTACGTCTTTACAGGCCAGGAATTCCATTCCTCGAGCAACACCCATGGCAAACATCTGAATTCGTTCCAGAAGGTCCATATCCACGTTTTCCTGATTGTCCTTGAGCCACGTGTCCAGCTGACCATTCTCACAGTACTCCAAGACCATCACTGGACCGACTGAAAGAGAGAGGGACTGGTTATCCTGCTATACTGATATACCAGATGATAAAAGCTGTATTAGACTATGAGGGAGTTTGTTTCACGCAAACCTTTTGCATCATTGTCTGAAAAAGATCGAAACTGCCCTAGGGCAAACTAGCATCACGATCATGGTACAGGATCAACCGATGTGAGATGAGTGAGTGAGTGAGTTAATATTTAACGTCACATCGGCAATATCTCAGCCATATCGTGACGTAAACAATGTATACAATAAAAAAGAAAACATTTGGTGAGTAAAACCTGTCGACGATGGAGCAGTAAAAATACTAGAGTATCACAGATATAACATAAAACTAGTAATCAAATCTAAGATATTTTAACTATACATGACAATACAATATAAAAACAGGCTATAGATGGCCCGATGTGAGATGAACTGGGGTCTATCAGATAGGGCAAACATATTTCATTGGTACAACTATTACTCACGTTCATCATTGTTGACAACAGCGCCGAAAAATTTCAACACATTGCGATGTTCACCGACTTGTGTTGCTGCAAAGTTGATCTTAGCCATCATCAGCAACTTGTTTTCTTCATCTGGTGTGTCTGTAATGATAGTTAAAGCCCTTGAAGCAGTTCAGTTAAATCTGGACATTCGTCGTTTCATTATTCTTGGTGATACATACATATTCATATAATCGGTGGATGAGTGAAGCAGGAAAACTTAAATTAATTTAGATGAATTCACAGCAAAATCTTACTTGGTACATTAATACATCTTCACTGATTGTGTTATTTGTCCACCGTGAATACCTTTGATAACCTTTGCTGCCACTTCGCTCACTGTTTTGCCGGACGTATGCGAAGCCTTATATATACGTGCAAATCTTCCGGTGTGAAGCTTGTCCTCCAACGTGAGGTCTTCCATGGATATATGCCATGTCTGAGTAGAAGCGAACGTCATGCATCCGTAGAGGTAGATGTCTTCGTCGTCATTGTTCTTCGTGAGATACAAATATTCAAACGATCAGTGTGAGTGAGTTTAGTTTTACGCCGCACTCAACAATATTCCACTGTATGGCGGCAGTCTGTAAATAATAGAGTCTTGACCAGAAAACCCTGCGATCAACAGCATGAGCATCGATCTACGCAATTGGGATACGAGTCAGCGAGCCTGACCATCCGATCCCGTTAATCGCCTCTTATGACAAGCATGTGTTTCTGAAGATCAGTTCTAACCCGGATCTTCATAGGTCAGTTGATGGGTGAAGGAGGAACTGATGTCGAGTTAAGGCATCACCAACAGGACGCAAGCTTCTATCTTCAGGGAGGAATATGTATGAGTGGTACGCCAACCATTGCCCACTTGCAAGCTAGTACACAGGACAACAGAATGTAACTGAGAGTACTTTAGGCTTTGTGACAAGTGGCACAATACTATACTTGGTATAGTTGCTTTCTGGTACTGGACAGTACAGAATCAATTGAGTGATATATGTAACTGTCCTTAGAGGATTGATTTGTGATATCAATAATATTGGTGCCATGCTTCAGTTACACGTAATGAGGCCTCTCAGTACTCATAAAGTTATAAACTGGAAACCAACGCGAGCCACGGGAAACTTAATAGCTGCTGTGATTCCTCTACACCTGGGATATGGTATGGGAGACAGCTGACATCATCCTGTCGTATGTCTTCTCAGGGAATAATGTTCTTTTTCCCCGTATTGAAACTAATTTCCCATCGATACCTGATGCAAAGGTCCTATCTTGATAAACATGATCGTCAGACGTGTATTACCAAGGATAGGTACGATCATGGAGTAATTTCCCAGGACATCATCAAATTATTCTTGACATAAGCAAAATATAGAACCGTCTTTAGCATCTTAGAATGTCATTTCTGGCATGGTTTGCCCTTGTTTTCTATCGTTATAAGCTATCGCATGTCAGGAGTTTTCAATGAATGGCCCGGAATTCATTCCCTGCTACTAGACAGAATTTGGTTTGACCTTCAAATATCGTTTTTCTCACCCGATCCTGACGCAAGTATCTACCTACCTGGGACATATTGATGGCAATAGTTATATATATATGCTTTAGTTCATCACCCACAATGACTACTTACCATATAGGACACTGCTTCACCTCTATTGTTGGGTATTTTAAGATTGTTTGTGATCCTCCCGGTGACGTTTTCTTCACGTCGACTTTGTCTGGCCTCCCGTTGCTTGATCAGCAGCGCAAGCCTGCCCGTCCTCCAGAGATGGAACACAGCTCCAAGCACCGCCAGTATCAGAAGAAGCACTGGTGGGTGCAAGTGGATACATTACTCAAAGAAGGTACCAACAGTCAAATACGGGGGGAAAAGAATCAAATGTTTCTCATCGTGGTTTGGATCGTTTAAGGTGTTCACAAATCTATACCTATGTCCCCGTATTTAAGGAGTTATGTGTCCTTGCCTAATCAATGTTTCATGGCTACTGACGAGTTTTATGTTCCGGCTGCTCCACAAATGTCCATTTCAAATTCGAAATTTATTATGCTTAAGAGTAATTTTCTATACGTTGACAAAACAAGATCTCAGCTTACATATAACGATCCCTGCTATAGCTCCAGCACCAATGCCCGACAGATCCACTGAAAGAATACAGGTGATGCATTTGAATGTTGTAATGTGTGTTTTACTGACAAAACTGACAGGAGTCACACACAGTGCACTGGAGTACCCCGAAGACAGTACAATATACACTCTTAAAATAAGTAGGGGAACCTGAACTTCCCATTTGGATAGGAAGTGTAAACGTTTCCAAACGTTTCAAAGATAGACATCTTATGAACGCACCGTCATTTCTCTTTATCACCACCCCTAAACACGACGCACGGGATGCACGTGCACAATGCAGTAGCCCCATACACGTCCATGGTGTGTCATTCTTGATTTTGTTTTCAAGATGGTCGATAAATCACTGTAGAGTATTAAGTTTGGCAATCATCTTGCATCACACAGTTGTTAGTGTTTGTTTCTAGTCGGGTTTTTATGTTTGAAAATGAAACTGCAAATGTCAGATCATACGCCAATCATCTTTCAGTGGCGATTACTGTACAAACAACTATGGTCATAAGGAGGTGCAAGTGGTGATGCACTCAAAACATTCATTATTATCGCATCAATATTTACTGACTCCGATATATCTCCCCATTTTTTAGTCGTATATATGAAGTTCCCCTACTTTTTAAAAGAGTTTTGTTGTCGCCCTTTGTGGCGTAATTCTACAGATAAAGAGAGCCGTTTTGGTTTGATGTCAGTACCTTATGTTTCTTTGCGATGTTCTCATTTTGTCTCATGTTATAATTGACGCTTTTCATCGATGACAGGTGTTATTGTAGTAATGAATTGATTATTTCATTTTGAATGCGAGGGACAGTGTGCCCTATTTCTATGTCTAATTTTAATTTTAATTTCATGTGTTCCACGTCCATCAGGCATTAACAGGTAAATTACACATATTTACGAACTTAAAGTTATATCCTTCCATTCTAATGGTTAAACTGCACCATATCCATCGTTAGATGTTCGATGAACAATAGGCAGTTCGAAAACGTAGTACTTACACGTTGTAAAAGAAGCAACTTTTGGTACACTCTTCATCTCTCCATATTCTGCTGTAACAAAGACCTTGTACTCAGTGTCGGGTTCAAGGCCTACGATGTCGTACGAGTTAGCTTCTTTGAACACCTTTACTGTATCAGAAGCCCCAGTGTTCCATCTGTAGCTGATCAAGATGGCGGTCCTCTCGTAGCAGCTGGGGGCGTGGTCCCATGTCACACGCACCGTCGTTTCCTTCACCCTCTCTGTTTTTACATTCTCAAGGCCAGAGTCTGGAAACAAATGTTCAACAATCGTCGAACCTTCTCAAATCGAATAGAGCCAAGTAGAAAAAGATCCAAATAAAAATGTAATTTGTAACATTTCCGCATTTTTAATTAGATCCATCTTTGTACATGTATTATACATGATTTCGATGTTTCTTTGTACATTCTTGCGATCTTGGTATTTTGTTGTAGTTATTTGCATCTATTTGCCTCATGTACCAACGTTGGTGGTTTCTCGAGAAACCCAGAATGCCCGACATTCAACTATGCCACAAAGCCTGGCCACCCAGTCATTTTAATACCTTCTGAGATTGCTAAGGACCGATATTTCTTAGTCTGTATGTTCACTGATTGGAGGATGGTTTTAGTGTGTGTGTCATCATTATTAAATGTGAGTTTATAGAGACGTATAGCACCCCAGTAAAACATACTGCTAAGTGACTTAAAGCTCAAATATCTAATCAAATTTGAAATTTGAATAATGATTGCACTTACATGCTTCCGTTCCGTTGAGCTGCATGAGATCCCGTATCTATGATAAGTCCATACAGTTATAAGTATTCGTTTTACCAGATTTGATTTGAGGTAAAAGAGCAACTCGTAGAATACCTATATTACTATGGAGGGTTGATTTAATTTCGTAAAGAAAATATGTACTTGCATCACATCATTACAATGGTTGAAAGAAGTTTTCGTTTGATAATATACAATCACATTGAGAATATACGAGAGCTTCCAGTTGAAGTCGCTCACTAAATATATTTCACAATCTGATAAAGCAAATAAAAAAATACAAAATTCTGGTCTCTTTTTAAATTCGGTCCTATGATGTTTCCTCTTTGTGGATAATATTGCAATGAAGCGGCATGTATTTAAGAAATTCATTTACAGTTTTCTTATTAAAATGTGTATATGTGCGGACTTGGTCTTGTCGCTATATGGCTGAAACAAAGCGGATGCGACGTAAATCTCAACTGAGCTCAACTCTTCATTGTCAAAATGTTCACCGGTACGCACCACGTGGCTCTTAGTTGTCGATAGCCCCGCCCTGTTGACAACGCCCACCTCGATCCGAACATGAGCAATCGCGAGGGCGTCCTTGGCCACCATTAGCCAGCAGTTGCTGATGTAGACTTTGTTGACCCGTTTATAACACACGTTCAAGGAGTTGGGGCAGTAGCAGTCGTGTACCCTGTCTGTGCATTTATTCGGCTGCAATGGCATTTATATATTATAATAATAATATTGATGTGATAAGGATATTTATAACGCGCCTTTCCAGACTTTATATCCTGCTCAAAGCGCACAAAGGATGCTCAAAGCGCACAAACTGATTACTATAACCCTGGATAACCCAAACTGCTTGTGAGGCGCTAGAAGGTTAATATCCCACTTATCCCACCTGGTACTTATTTTTCGGCTGGATGAACAGAGGCAATTTTGAACAAACTCACTTGCCTAAGATGCGACCACATGTATCACATGTACCTACTAAATATATTTCATTAATTAAAAAAATCTCAAACAATTACGTAGCATTAAATGAACAGTTGTTTGGTTGGACCTCAATGTTATTTACTCATTGAGAAGAGCAAGATGACCCAGATTTAGACATATCTGCGCGGCTTACGCAAGATCATTTTTAATTGACGTGATTTAAGTCAAAATGGTTATATGCTTATTGCAATGTGATGATAATTAACACAACTGCAAATTGTATGATAATCATGTCACTGTAATGTCTCAAAAATACGTTTACGCCAGTGATTTGTAAAGCTCGACCGAACATATATTAACAAGGCTGTTTTACCGGAATGGAAGCAATCGTTAAATTCTTCCTGGTCATTAAATGACCGTCACCCATCTCTGTGACCTTGATTTCGAGGTGATCAATCCCGCTCTCCGGGTCAAACACGGTCACCTCTAACCTGGGAATCGTTGAAACATTAAATACCGTTATTAATGAATGACCAAAAGGTCCAAAGCGTTATATTTTTCTTTGAATTGTCAAGCCCAACGACCTCTCGTATAAATTACACACAACAAAATAACATCATAGATTTCAAAGACGTTGTGAACATGGACCCTGCTATCTCTGCTTAAATACGTTCAAAACGTCACTACAACCAACCAAATTACAAGGAACTTCGGCAACCTATAATGGATTAGAGACGACTAATGTAATCAGGTGATCTGGTTGACACATGACGTCATATCCCAAATCCGTAGATCGTTGATCATGCTGTCGATCACTGAATTGTCTGGTCCAGACTCTATTATTTATTGAGTGCGGCGTAAAACAACAACCAGCAAGAAGAGGGTTTTGAAAGATAGTAAAGGTATTATCGGGATTAAAAGATAAATGCTTCCCCTCTAACCATTGACCAAATATACTTAAGTGTCCATGAATACATGGGTAATGTAAGTCCCCACGGTCCCTTGTATGGTGATCTACCTTCAGTTGTTAGCGATCTATAGCCCGTTTTTATATTGTGTTGTCCTCTCTAGTTAAAATGTTTCAGAATTAATTACTAGTTTTACATTTATATCTGTGATATTCTACTTGTTTTACTGTCCGTTGACAGGCTTTTTATATTTTACCTATAATTATTATTAATAATGCAATTTGATATGGTCACGATATGGCTGAAATGCTGCCGACATGACCTAAAATCGTAACTCACTCACTCACCCATGAATACATGAATAACAACTTCTTTTTCAGAATTAGCTCTGATACGTCGTATAACGAATAAAAAAAGACTTAGCTCTGAAACGTCGTATATAGAATGAAAAAAAAATTTGTTATTCATAAAACGTGACATGTATTCATGTTCGTGCAACTTCTAAATGCCTTGCAAAAACCTTTTATACTTAAGTGTCCACTTGTTTCATTTCGTTTCAGTATTATGAATTTAGAACTAGTTTTAGTCACAATATGGCTGAAATATTGCCAATGTGACTTTAAATCTTAATTCACTCACTCACTCATTTAGTTTCAAAACCCTACTGTCTGATAAAGAAATGCTTTCATTGTAAATTCATTTGGGATCATTCTTGAGGTGAGTGAGTGAGTTTCGTTTTACGCCGCACTCAGCCATATTCCAGCTATATGGCGGCGCTCTGTAAATAATCGAGTCTGGACAAGACAATCCATACGACAAGCAATTTTAACCCTTATCTTCCCGGGTTCTAAGGAGGAAATGCAAGATGATTGTTCTACATGCAGCTAAACCACAGATATATTGTTTCATCATTTGCTTACCCTGAACTGAAGGGATGTTTGATGATTCGTTTTGATGGAATATCATCTGACTAAACTGAGGTTTAGTGAAATCAAAGGTGACTCTTGTCATGTCCACTTTCTTGTTGTCGAGGACGTCCCTTGCTCGTATCCACACCGAGACGGTACTCCCGCTGGTAACGTTGTCTGAAACATGCAAATATTTAAGACTGTATGTAAGATGTAAATGCAAAATCATAATCCGGACATATAACTTCCAGGTGGAATCTTCTGGGTGAGTGAGTGATTTTGTTTTACGCCGCTCTTAGCAATATTCCAGCAACATCATGGTGGGGCCACCAGCATGGGCTTCACACATTATACCCATGAGGGGAATGGAATCCATCTTATACCATATGTAACAGCAAGTTTAAGAAATGTAAAGAATATTTGCAGTACATCATTTCGCGAACTCATGTGTTTTGATTATTCAAAATTGATTGATTATTCGAGAATACACTTGCACTTGAAGAATCGAAGAACCGATTGAAGAAAGTCTTCGCTTCGTTGCCTAAATGTACTCACTAAATGCATGACAATAATAGGGCCTGTCTTGCGAGGCGCTACTTCAGATACTAAGCTGGTTCCCAGCACCCTTTGTGCGCGCCAACTTGCGATATGCGAGACGGGGCCCAGCTTGCTTCCGGTACCAGATTTTCGGTGAAAAGCGTATATTCCAGAACCATTTCTGGATCCATATTGCGCGACCGCCAAATATGACATTACTGTCCTATACGAACATAATATGTTGTTAATGTTTGAACTGCGAACAGTCCTTCAGGGCTTACACAATAATTATTGATGACCAGCTATGTAAATTGAACTCACCAAGTCTTTTTTCAATTGAAGTGTTCAGACCATGGATCTCATCCCAGTTCGGAGGTATCTGTTGTATGCTACCTCCTGTCGTATTGACAGCGTGCGTCCACTCAAACCTCACAATGCCCCGTACATTGGGGATAGCCGCTGTAGTTCTTCTTCCATAATGATCATCATTTGTATGAGGTACTTCCTTGTAGATTGGTGGGTCTTCTACAACCTTCACACGGAAGGGGAGGATGCTGTTCAGGAATTTACCACTTTCATGGACATAATTAAGAAAATGATCTTGCCAGTTAATGACAAGTGGCGTGGAGGCATCGGTCATCCACTGGAAGCCATGGTCTTGCACAGCTGACGATATGTACAGGGCATTGGCTGGATCCGTGGTCACTGCCGACTCTCTGTCATACAGTGCAAACCTTCTCATGTATACAGAGTTATTGGCCTTGTCGGCAGCTTCAAGGACAAAAGAATACATCCCTGGTCTGGCTGGGACATAGGGAAGAGGATAGGAGATAGGATCGGTATGGTCAACTTCTCTGTCAACAACAGGTCTCAGTTTGTCTACTTCCGTCAAGCTTCCGTTCTGACTTGGTTCAAGTTTGAATGCTTCCCATGTGTACTTGTCCATTCCAGATTTAGTGTCGGTCCAACCCTCCCACTTCATGACGATTTGTTGCTATGTAATGTAAAGACTGATTATTTCTTTCTTTATCCGAGGAAGTTGAGAAAATTGTCATCAAACTTCTCCTCCGAAACTGGATAATAGGAAATAATGCTCGCCACTCTTGTAATTTCACAATTTACAATTATCAGAGTAAATGATAATGAAACTTTCTGTTGTCAAGTCAAGTAATTGGAATCTGAACGAAATTGCACTTTGTGTAACAGTCATTTCTATCTACTTAATACTATGTACTCTTCAACAAAGGAAAATACAGTTGATTTTCTGGGTCAGCGTTTGACAATTATGTCGCAATTATAACTTTTGCAATGCCACAATGTCGAGTGAGACGGCCACCATCGAAATGATGACATCGTGAAGCAGTGAAGATCAGAGTTTGAATTGATCTTCAAGTAACCCAGGCTTGTCATAAGAGGGGACTAACGGGATCGGGTGGTCAGGCTCGCTCACTTGGCTGGCACATGCCATCGTATCCCAATAGCTAAGATCGATTCTCATGTTGCTGATCACTAGATTGTCTGGTGCAGCCTGGATTTATTTAAAGACCACCGGCATATAGCTAGAATATTGCTGAGAGCGGCGTAAAACTAAACACACTCACTATGCGTCTGTTTGTGATCATGAGTAGTTTCGAAACATCAGTAGTACATTACAATCTCTTCAGTGTCATACAATCTCCCCATTTTAGACCCAACATTTTAAACTGCATTTCAATGCTAACAGTTTTATCGTTTCAGTGTATATTTGACTTTGTAACCGTCATAATATACCCATTCCAATATGTTTTTGTTGGAAATATACCTGAGATGTCTCCTCATACAAACTATGAAGCTAAGAGTATTGTAAACGGGGTTACCTTTGTGAATTCTGGGTGAATCTGAAAACCGTCATTGGGGTTGTTGAACACGGGTTTAACCGTGTCAACGTGGAATGCTAAAATGCTGACAGCGTCCTCCCCGGTATAGTGTTCTGTGGCTCCTCCGCTCAGACTCCGGTAGCCACCACTTGAAACTCGGAATGTCAAGGTCAACCTAGATTAACGTAAAGTCTGTTTATGAAGGACTTTTATAATCAGAGAAAATGTCGTCTTCACCACAATCCATTGTTGATAGTTGCAGTATCTAAGACAAAATTGTATTATCTATCTATCTGAATTTTAATAATAATTGCTTATTTTTATCATCCGACTAAAGCTGTGACAATCGCCAGTAACTAATGACAAATGTAATCCGACTGGGAAACCATATAGGTTACAGAGGTACCGTAATTCACCATGACCCCATACCTATGTTGCTGGCGCCCTCTAGCGCCCTGCCAAATATACTCAGTTTTAATGTTCTATAACTAGTTTTAAAACAAGTATGTGATATATTTGCTAGTTGGTACTGACAGTTTTTAAGTTATCGTATAACTGTGTAACTAACTTGACCAAATCACAATAAGGCTGAAATACTGCTGATGTGCCTAAAATTAAACTCACTCACTCACTCACTGAAAACCCATCCACCCACTCGCTCGCTCACTCACACAGTTACTACCTAGTGGCAAACCTAGTGGCAACCCATAAGCATACCGGGACACTTTGATAATGGGTTGGAATCCTCGATTTGGAGCCTATTTTATCCATGATCATATTTACATATCCATATACATTTATCAAATCATCAGTTTCCAAGCATGATTTACAAGCTGTGTGCAATGAACTACACCACTTCTCACAATAGTCTGTTTCCTAGCCTTACTGCACCACACTTCAGGAAATGCGCGCGGAATGACCGCGACATGTTAAGCTACAGACGAATGGTTGAAGCGCTAGTAAAATATCTGTTACCTTTGGCAGCAGCGAATGAAATATAGAGTTACTGCTGCCCCTGACTGACAAACAGCAGGTCTGATCGTTCGAGAGGCTTTCAAGTTGAATCGTTTCTTGAAGGCCGTGATATGTTACGCTACGGACGTAACCTGGTACTAATGAGGAACTCATTCGGTACATTTGTGGAACCAAATATATTTTTAATCATAACAACATTTTATACCATTGTGGGTGGTATTCACAAAATTGGTGACAATATTCAAAAGTGTTCATTCGTTGGCTGAAAATATAGCATATAGCAAGACAAAAGTAAATGTACGTATGTAACTTACTTGTCACCATCAGCCAAACGGTTATTGTACTTTGTAACAAATGAACAGCTGACCGTGTTCTTTGGGTTTTCGGAGCTGACTGCTTCACCACAAGCGTATTCCTTGTCCGTCGAAGCAATATCAGGTCCACCTTGGTAAAACGGATAATTTACATGGATCTGCATCAATTTAGATAACAATCGTTATGTGGGAGTAGACCCGTGAAGGTCCTGGTTAGAATTGATCTTCATTAACCCATGCTTGTCGTAGGAGTCGACTAACGGGGTTGGGTGGTCAGGCTCACCTTGGTTGACACATGTCACAATATCCCAGTTGCGTAGATTATTGTTCATGCTGTTGATCACTGGATTGTCTGGTTGAGACTCAATTATTTACAGACCACCGTCATATCGCTGGAATATTGCAGAGTGCGGCGTAAAACATAACTCACTCAATCGCTCATGAAGCAGTACGTCACATTTAATATTAAAGAATTGGCAGCGAATGATGGGTTAGTAAAATATATGTTACCTTTGCGCAGCAGCGAATGAAATTTAGAGTTACGGCCTCTAACTGTTTACAAATGTAATGTTTCCAACTGAATCGTTTCTTGAAGGCCCATCGTACCTAGTATATAAGAACTTTGTGCTTTGGCTATATCTTTGAGAACCGTAAGAAATCCGTGTTAGAATTGGTCTTCAGCATCCCATACATTTGTACTCGTCTTACGAGCGACTAACGGGATCGGGTGGTTAGGCCCGCTCACTTGGTTGACACATGTCATCGTATCCCAGTTATGTAGACCGAAGCTCATGTTGTTGATCACTGGATTGTTTGTTCCAGGCTCGATTATTTACAGACCGCCGCCGTATAAGTGGAATATTGCTGCGTGCGGCGTTAAGTTAACTAACCAACCTACTAACCGATTGTAAAAACTACTTCTTATGTGAATTAGAGTCATAATACCGAAAAATGAAAGAAACTTTGAAGAAATAATATAACAACTCCATGACAAACAATATCCTAATTATACTATTAACATTGGGGAAATAAATATATTTTGTAATACAGACCGCGGCCTTACAACTGGAGTGCGACACTAAAAAAAACAACATCTCTGAACACCAAAACTGCATACGTCCAATACAGAACAAAAGAGAAAATTTCATGTTTGTAGACATTGAAGAATGACAAACCCCAAAACTGCACACGTCCAATACAGAACATAAAATGAAGTGCTTAAGGACATTGGAGACTGACAAACACCAAAACTGCACACTTCCACAGAACAAAAAAAAATGCTTGAAGACACTGGACAATGGCCAACACCAAAACTGCACATTTTCAATACAGAACAAAAAAAATGAAACGCTTGAAGACACTGGAGATTGGTAAACACCAAAACTTCACACTTCCACTACAGAACAACACAACGAAGAATAACACACTTGTACACACATCACTAACATTTACAAGGGTCTGAAAATTACTAATTACTAATTTAGCACTATTCAAGCAGTATCACGGCGGGGGGCACCAGAAATGGACTTCATACAAGTTACCCATGTGGGGAATTGAACTCGGGACTTCGGCTGGACGAATGAACACTTTAACCACTAGGCTTCCCCACAGCCCCCCCGACTCAGTGGGTAGTATCACTTAGTTTCCATCCTTACATTTTTGACGAACGATTTGTGTCCGACAATAACATGGTAATCCAAGCAAACAGATTCCACTGAGAGTAAATGGTAAAACAGCGATGGAATTTATACGAATGTATCACTAAAAAGGAATACGTTCACTACCGATTACTTACTCATCTTGACAAATGCTCTGGCAATTCCAGTCTTGGCTTCGATGATATAAGCTGGGGGATGTGGCAGAGCTCTGCCTTTAAATAGCACTGGCCGTTACGTTGATGTTGTTGAGTCGCTCTTGATTTGTCCATACAATGACTTGTTCAGCTTGCTCTGTACCGTCTGCTATGAGACTATAGATGTGCTTGCCATCCTTAATGTATGAAAACTGTGCCTGTATCTGCGTCACCTCTGGCACTTGTGTCTTCTTGACTGTTTGGTGGAATGTTCAAATGAATCCAAATATATCGCCCGAGAGGATACATAAGTCCCAAAACTTCAAAGTCCATTTCAACTTACCAGAATTATAATCATAGTATATTTGATATTTTTCATAATGGCTAAACCTCAGTACATTCGCCAGCGGCTGAGGGGGTGGTGTAAATCCAGCTAGGGTACATGCAGGTAGCAAAAGTACTGTAAGTCCCCATGGGCCCTAGTATGGTGATCTATCTTCAGCTGTTGGCGATCTCTAGCCTGTTTTGATATTATGTATTGCTCAAATAGCGCTATTAACTTTAACTTCACATGCTAGTTTCAATTCTGACTGTGATAATCTAGTTGTTTTACTGTCTTTTGCCGACAGGTGTTATAATATATACATATTGCTTATAAACGTCGAATTTGTTCTCGTCACAATATGGCTGCAAAATTGCCGATGCGACGTTTAATAAAAACTCACTCACCCCAAATAGTCAAGTACATTTAATGTAACCAATGTTTTAGTCGTAGAATATGTGTGCTTTTAATGTATGGCTAGATTTCTCTAAATTGCTAACAGCTGAAGGGATGGGCTAAATTCAGCTGAGGTCCACGCAGAAAGCAAATCTAAGTCCCCATGATGTCTAGTATTGGGATCTACCTTCAGTTGTTAGTGATCTACAGCCGGTTTTATATTGTATTGTCTTCTATATTTAAACGGTTTTAGATTTGTAACTAGTTTTATATCTTTATCTGTGATCATCTAGTTGTTTTACTATACTTCGTTGACAGGGTTTTATAACTTGGTTTTAATTATTATAGATCTACTACTTATTATAGTCAGGGGTAGCAAAGGCACTGTAAGTCCCCATGGTCCTTAGTATGGTGATCTACCTTCAGTTGTTGGCGATCTATAGCCCATTTTTACATTGTATTGTCGAGAAATAATTTTCTACTTTTAAAGATATATGCTAGTTAGTTTTAACTCAATCTGTGATAATCTAGTGGTTTTACTGTCCTTCGTTGACAGGGTTTTATATATTATATGTATGTATTATGCATTTAGAACTAGTTTTAGTCACGACATGGCTGAAATATTGCCGAGGTGACTTTAAATCTTAACTCACTCACTCACTTACTATTATAGTCACGATATTGCTGAAATACTGCCGATGTGACTTAAAATCTTAACTCATTTACTCCAAATAGATGATCACAACCTCTGTTATGTGTCAATTCACACCTTCAACAATGGTTCTTGTAAATACTTAAAGTGAACAAAACGAAAATGGATGTACATGTATTCACGTATCAAACTTCCATCATATGTTTGGCGAAACGCAATTCAAGTCCATGGTTCAACAGAATATCTTACTCCTGTGTATATACATGTATAACTACATTTTGAAATTAGTTTAATTGAAACTGAGACTGTTTAGTTTAAAACACTCACAACAATGAACATTTATCAATAATATAGAGGAGCTCAAATGTTGGAAAACGTTTAGTTGACTTACGATGTATGCAAAAATCCCCATCGAAGTCATCCATACAGTTGCAAACAACGCTGGCACCATTCTCTTGACAGTCCCCTGGGTAGCATGGTCGCTCCTTATTACAGTCATCTAGAAACAGTTACTTTCAGGTCAGTGTGTATAATGTTTCCTTGAGGGAACATAATGCTGTGGATCAAATACCAGATCCTACAAATCCATGTGCCTCATATGGTGAAATTGGTACGTGTCCAAAAACATGGACAATTCAATCGAGTGACTCTTTGTTAATCAACATTTCCCCTTACAATAACACAACATTAAACGATATTTTATATAACGTTTTGAGTAATCAATGCATTCTTACACAATAAGATGTTGACTTGCTATAAACGTTTGTTTAAGTTCTTTAACGCCTCACTCAGCAGTATTCAAGATATATGTCAGTGGTCTGCAAATGATCCAGTCAGGATCAGACAATCCAGTGATCAATGTCTAAACTTGTAACATGCGATGACATGCCTTACCACCAGAAGCCTCTTACGACAAGCATGGTTGCTGAAGACCTATTCTAAACGAACCACGAAGCAGCTTACGTCCAGTGCATGTCGCTCCAGTATATCCATCCTTGCAACTACATCTTCCTGGGGACGAGCATGTTCCACCATTAGCACAAGAGGGGTAACACAGTGCTGAAAGCAGTTCAGAAGAGAGTCTGTTGTGGAATTACCAGTGGAAAACCACAATACAATTCATGACGAAAATGATGATGTATTTTCCAACATTTTCTTAAAAATCAATTCTTCCCTCTTGCTCTTTTCCAGTCTTTGACCCAAGCTCACATTTTCGAGACAGTATGCCTATCTGTATTGAGTATATAACAAAAGAATCGGAAAGAAAAGCAAGATAAGAGTAACTAGTCATCTTAAAATATTTTAGGAGTACAGATTCCACATAATCGTCATGAAGTCAAGCCCATATTCACTGCAAATATGCATATATCTGACTTATTCATATTTTCTATAAAACAATACTCACCGGTATTGCAATTTCCATCTCCATTTTCAGCCCACCCGGGACAACACTTGTAAGCCGTAGTATAAACGGGCACGTGTATAAGTGCGTGAGCACAGCAACTGAAACATGAAATATTGATTTCACAAACATCAAAGTATGCATTATACGCACAAGTCGAGGGATTCTCATTAGGGACCGTTCATAATTTATAGCTAGGGGTGGGGGGTTGATGATGAGTTTCATGAAGGAGCATGTACGATTTGAATGACATCCCCCTAAAATGTATGTGCACAGTAAGTGACCCCGCCTTGCGTATCATGTACAAAATCAATGACACCCATCCATTCCCATAATTCTTAAGCCTAATTTTTTAATATATCTATGTACAAATTTGCTGACCCCCTATACATGCGTACACAATTGATGCCCCCGCCCCTAGAACAACCCCTTAGAATCATCATCTTCCCCTCTAGCGATTATGAACGGCCCCTTACTTCAATATATCAAAAAAAACGTCAAAACATCTTTCCGTAATGAAAAAGGGATGGTTTCTGCTGAAAGCATACTCCGCTTTAGGTTTCTACTACATGTATATCATAAACACTACCTCACATAAACATCAAAGTATGCAGTATATGCACAAGTCGAGGGGTTCTCATTATTGCAACATATCAAAGAAAGCGTCAAAACATCTTTCTGTAATGAAAAAGGGATGATTTCTGCTGAAAGCATACTCCACTTTAGGTTCCGACTATATTATAAACACTACGCCACATAATCATCAAAGTGTCCATTATATGCACAAGTCGAGGGGGGTCTCATTATTGCAAGCTTTCAAAGAAAGCGTTAAAACCATAAAGAAAACGGTATAGTTTCTGCTGAAAGCATACTCCTGTTATATTATAGACACAGGCTCACAAACTGTTACGTTTATTGTGTTCAATATTGCATACTGTTTTTCGTCAGTTGTTTGCTTAACGGTGACTGTGTTCTGCACAAAATGTCAAAGGATAAACTGTCTACTTTGGAACCTATGAGTGTCACCGTCCGCACTTTAGTCAAAGGGATCTACGTAAATACTTCGAGTTATCCGAGGTAATGATGACTATATAAGGCATACGCAGGGGTCGTGTTTTTTATACTTCGAGACAACCGGAAGTTCCATACACTTATGTTCGACACAACGGTGTTTAATTGTATGTAAGAGTTAAATATGGAAGCAAAGACTTACGTCCACCAACAAGAAGAAATGCAGATATAGCTTGATGTGTAGGTGACCTTCGTGTAGGGACATATATTGCTGAAAGAAATACGAAATATATTTATTTCCCCAAATACTATAATTGTAAGATGATTGTTTGTCATGAAGTTTTTATATTATTGTTTAAAACTTTAATAATTTGATGGGACTTGACGCTAATTGACATAAGAATTAGTTGCGACAGACTATTTCATCAGCAGTGGATAGAGCAGCATGAAGTACTGCAAGGGTAGTAACGCTCCATGTAACTAAAAAAGTAAATAGCCAACGAAAAATGAATAAAATTAAAGTGTAAGTGAAGGTGACGAAAACTTAAACAAAAGATTGTATATAATAATAATGTTTTTGGTTCAGATTTTATAGTTGTGTTTGGCCTTTAGTTGGCAGAGTTTCCGCAACTGTTAGGGACCGTTCATACCCTGTTGGGGTGGGGGTGGGGTGGTTGTTGTGATGATGATTTAAGAAGGGGGCACTCTGGGGAGGTAGAGGGGGGTCATCAGTTTTGAATATATAAACGACTGTGACTGGCAAGAACAGCGAGGCGTTGGCGACGTCATATTGGACAGCGCGTCCTCTTCACCGAGGAGAGCCCGTTCTGTATGTTTCTTTCTAATGACAGCCAACGTGTTTATCGTCGAAGTGGAGAACGTGCTCCTCGTTGTTCGTCCCCTTTGGGTGTAGGAGTACCATGGTGTGGGGAGGCATTTGTGGTGACGAGAGGATGCCATTGTCATAACTGATGGTAAGTTGAATGCCGTACGATACAGAGATTGGATTCTACGCCCTGTTTTGCTTCCATTCCTTCGTCATCAGCCGCAGGATATCAACAGGACACTGCCATGCCTGACGGGGCGCGGTGGGCGAGCTGGCTAAGGCGCCAGGCTAGTGATCCAGCGAGGTTGAGGTGTATGGATCAACTTTGTGTGCAGACTCCTTCAGTATTGTCACAACCCCTAGTGTACAGTACACATCCCTGTGCAGTTTAAAGAACCCACGAATCCGTTGATATATGACCAGATGGTGGCCACATGAATATGTGCAAACACCTAGTTGCGGGTACAGCAAAGTACAGTGAACTTGGGCAAAGTGCTCTGACTATGTGTCCCAGTCCACCCAGCTGTGAATGGGTACCTCGTTAGGATGAGAAAGCCACAGTAACACGGTGCGCCTTGCGGCTGCAAGAGTTGTATACTCCCCAGGGAGTTGAGATTGATAATACGATGTGCCGTTGAGATTGACATCCAATGATCGAGGGAATAATACCATCGCCTTTAGCATGCAATAGTTGCCTGGATATGTGCGCTATATAAATATCCTATAATAAAAATAATAATAGTACTGCTAACGTCGTGCAAAACTTCCTTGACGTCAACAACGTCTATGCGTTATCCTGGCCAGCTCGCTCGCCAAACCGTAATCCCAAAGAGCATATCATGGACAGACAAATTCAACGGCGACAACAACCTCTCAACACACGGGATGAACTCATTGTGGTCTTCCATGAAGAATGGCGACGCATCCCACGTGACGTCATCGGTGCGTAGGAGAGTGCCTGCATTCAAGCCACTGGAGATCACACACACTATCAGGGTGACACATAATACCACCTATGTTGTTTCGAACTGACCATTTGGACATGAATTGAAAAACTGTTTTGTGTACCTCACATGGACATTACCAGCCATACTTTATGACTGTTTGAAAAAGGTTTCAGCAAATACTGAGGATTACAATACCGTTTATTATGGTAATATATGTTTTGTTGCCTTTTTGTTCGCTATCGAGCTTCAAATCGGCTGCCAAGTTCCCTTTGAGCGTTATTTTACATAGCGCATGGTTTAATCACTTTTGAATTAAGATTCATGCTTTGTAAACCTGATGTGAGAACCGTCATCACAATAAACGTTTTGCTGCAGACAGATGCAGCCGGGAACTCTACAAATTTGGCGATGCAGGCGTAGCGATGTGGGCGGATATCTCCTTCTCTGGTAAGAATAGCCTGACCATAGGTATTATATTGAAAGTCAGTCAATATTCATAGGTCGCTGTGCAGACTTGGGTACCTTTGACTGAGTTGCCAAGCTAGGACATGTCTGAGACCTAAATCACTGAAGACTAAGGTTACGGGACCTGTGGTAACTGGAATAATGTTCGAAATGGCGTAAAACCCAAACTCAGTTACTCATGTGGCCTCACACTAAGTATGCACAGTACTGGGTTCTGATCCGCAAAGCATTCGTAACGTTACGACCTGTTTGTAGAACGTATAATGGATCGGGGCCCAGAATATTAGACGATTCTTATACGACAGAGTTTTGGATTGTAAAACAATGATGTTTTTTTATTATTATTACATGGATTCTGTTAAGGGAAGTGATGTGCGAGATGTGCACCAAATCACACGTCTCTTATCAATACACAATGCCATTTAGAAAGTTGTCAAATATAACACGTTATATTTGTGACTACACTGTTTCAGTTAGGTACATATTATAGTACCTTTGATGGGTTGAGTCCCATACTGGATTCGAGACGTGATTTGGTGAGATGGTTTGGCCTTGCTATTCGCATGGACTATTTCATTATCATTTAGGGAGTAAATTAGAGACAAAGAGAAGATTTAGGCCTTTAGAAACGGATGGACACAAATAAGGTAAACACTGGCAAACTCATTTAACAAGGCTGAGATGTTGTCTGAGACAAAAAACAAACTGATTGACCCTCGTCTGTGTGAATATGTTCCCTGCAAAACAACTTGGTAATTAAACTGACGTACAAAAGAAAGTACACGCCTGATGCTTTGATAATATGTTTTTCTAAAAACAGCGTAATATTTAGAAAAGTGTTTTGATTGTGACTCACAAGTCACAAACATTGTGTACGTGTTGCAATAACACCATAGATATTGTACCCAATTGGAACTTTGCTAGCAAAAAATATTTACGTTGTTTTAATAGTCTCAAAACACCACGTGTGTACTTTCTTTTCTACATCAGTATATAATATTGTTACTTTTGTCTCTGAATTTGTTTTCCGTGTTTGCTCACGTTTCGATCTCCTGGTATGTTATGTGCACCACCTTCCTTAACCTAAGTTGTCGATAACAGATCAGTAAATTGATTGCATATTGTATCTTCAAAATGACATGCAGTGGTATCTTACATGCTTTGAAATCTATCTCCCTCTTATCAACGACAACAGGTCACACCTTGTGTAAACAGGAACATTATTTCAAGACGGACGGGGGAAGCCGGTAAATCAGGCATTGCTAGTCTGATCAATGCGGAGTCAGATCAGTCAGTCAGTCAGTCTAGTTTAACGCTTTTTTTAGCAATATGTCAGCAATATCGGTGACACGGAAAAAGGTCTTCACACATTGTATCCAATGGGAATCGTGCGCGGATCTTCGGCATGACGAGCGAACGCTTTAGACACCAGGCTTCCCCAACGACCCCGTCGGGGACAAACTGTGTGTCGCTTCAACCCTGCGCACCATGTTCCGCTGTTAATAGTTCGACCCATAGATTCGCTGATATCCATAGAGCTGTCTGCACCGATTCAACCTTAACGTATGTTTAACCATAACTGAAGTACGAACTAGCCGTATAGAGTCGTGTCCCTTACGCATGTTTGACGCCAATGATCGTTGGTTCAAAATTCTGTTTCGCCCATGTTTGATTTCTTGGTCCTGCTTGCACTGTTGAAATATGTTTCTATTTTGAACCTGAGACCAATATTTTCTTTTGTGAATGGCAATATCAACACAAGGACATTCCAGCAAGAAGTTTCATTTTAATTCCGGTTATATCAACGATCGTTAATTCTACCATGGCTACGTGAAATGCTCGAATTTGATTGGTCAATCCATAGAATCAGATGGTATGAATTTCTATTGAAAATGCGTCTGATTTCACGGCGCTACACTGCCGCACTACTTCAGCTTGGCCACCAACATGACTACTTCAGCTTGAACACAACAGACGTGATGGAAATGGATTAAATAGGTTGATTGGAAGCCAGTAGAGAAGATGTACATGGTTGTATACATAAGAGATTAAGGATGTTGATGGTTGTTTACATAGGTGATAAAGAGACTGTTGGGAAGCTAGTAGTGAAGTAATGTTACACAAGGGATAATGTACAATGACACAAGGGATAATGTACAATGACACAAGGGATAATGTTAAATGACACAAGGGATAATGTTAAATGACACAAGGGATAATGTACAGTGGTTGGGTAGGTTTACATGAAAATTAATTCAGCAAGTGATGATAAGCCTTGGGGACGAAATATCCTTCATCTCTGTTGATAGCTGGGCAAATCTTCTTTATGTGGACAGCTTCAAGTAATTTGCGGGTTTTGAAGTCAGCCTGGTTCCTCTCGATGACCTTGGTGGTGTTCCGTCTGATATTGTGGTTTGGATTGGCTTTAAGGTCAGCTATGGCGGATTTACAGTCTTCGTTTCTTACTGAGGCCTGGTGTTCTTTGATCCTAATGGTGAATGGTCTTGAGGTTTCACCAATGTAGGATTCCCCGCAGTGGCATTCTATCTGGTAGACGACACCTGCGGGATCTGGCTTCTTGTCGGTGGGTCTGCATGTGGCCTGCTGGAGGTTCTGTATGGTGTTGCCTCTCTGGAAGATGACATCAGTGTTGGCTTGCTGCTTAATGAGTCGTCGGATGTAATAGCTAGTCTCCTGCCGGTATAGCTCTCTGCATCACTGAAGTGCACAAGCCCACAAACCACGTGAAGGTGGCAATCCTGGGTCTTAGCTGTATATAAAAGGATATAATGCTAAGACCCGATCAGTGACAATATATACCTTGGTGCCAGCTTTATTTGCATACAAAGCCCTTTCGTGCCAATGTTCATCTTTTGTCAAACGTTTCTGGAAGAGAAACTGTTACAGAGACAAACGCATTTTGAAAGGGCATGGACATAATGGTAAAAAAATGAAGGTCAATGATCATGATCAATATTTATTTTTATTTTAGATAAAAAAAACCCTCAGAAGTAAGTACCATTGACAGCTACA